GTTTAGGGTGACCAGGTGTCATGATTTTTTAGGGACAGTCCTGATATTTGAGGTTTTGTCTTATATAGGTGCCTATTACCTCCTACCCCCTGTCCCGATTTTTCACACTTGCTATCTGATCACCTTAGTTCAGTTCCAAATTCTGTAGAGGAGGTGCTCTAGTGGTCACAGATCCTTCCATTCCTGCCCTGAGCCTATCCCTGTCCTGTTCCTATCTCTCTCCCCCAGCTCCTGTTTATTTCCTCCTCTGCAGTTCCTGTTCTTGTCACCCTAGGCTTTTGCTTCCAATCCTCTGATTCTCTGTCCCGCTCTACACCTATCCTCCAAGTATCTGTCACTCTCTGCTCCTATCGTCTCCTCTTTTTTCAAGTCAGACTGTTACCCCTTCCACCATACAGCCAGGGCACCAGGAGAGGGAGCACTGAAAGCTTAAAAGAGACTGTCTCCATCCTCTCAGTTCTGGTACCGGCTGCCACAGCAGACCCTGATAGCCAAGAGAAGCAATTGCAGCGAAAGTTCTTCTTAGCCCCAGCAGCTCTGGGTTGGAGCAAGTTCAGGTGTTCTATGCAGTTGGAGTATGTTCAGTCCAGCTAGTATGTAGGAGTTGCGGGGAGGGGGACGGGGTGCGGGCGGAACATGTTCAGTGCAGACAAAATCTTCAGCAAGTAATGCTGCCAGCCTATAACAAACCTCTACAGAGCATGTGTGAACTACATCTCTGAGGCATATAAATTGAGCTGGATTTTTACATAATATATATGGGGAGAGCAAAAGGCACATCCCTGACACTAGGGCAATCTCCTGCCAAATTGCAAGTCCCTGCTCTAAAGCGAGGAGGTGGTAGAGCTTCTCACTGAAACAATTGTAAGAATTTTTTTAACATGGGCAAAACATTATCTTTTCCCTAACCTTATTCTTGGAATGGGCTAAGCTACTTTTGCTGAGACTGTCACAAAAAATTGAGTCTGAGGCAGACACCCAGCATGGAAAATTCCAAGCCAACAGTTTAAATTTGGAAAAGTTACAGGCACCTGTAAACAGGGTGCTATAATGGAAAGTGTTAGGAAACTTTATAGATGTCACTGCTAGCTCCATCTATAGTTAGTAGCTATTGGGGTTGGGTTTTTGCTTATTAACAGAATACTCTGGGTTTTTTTGTATAGCTTGAAATTAGGGAGAAGTTGGGATGATAAAGAGTACATGGGGTGCAACTTTATAGTGTAAAGTGAAAAGCTTCACCAGGAGGAAAATGATCCTCTTCATCACAAATTGTGTTTCTTCATTGTTCTGAATGGAGAATTGGAAAAACAGAAGTGCTTCAAAACATTGAAATGATTAATCACTGATAAGTAAGGCTATGTTTTAGTCATGGGTATTTTTAGTAAAAGTCATGGACAGGTCATGGGCCGTAAACCAAAATTCACGGACCCGTGACCTGTCCATGACTTTTACCCAAATACCCTCCCTGACTAAAACTTGGGTGGGGGACTGCAGGTGCTCTGGGGGGTGGTGGTCTGGGGGCGCCGCGGGTGCTGGGGGAGGTGACCCGGGACCCTCACTGGTGCTGAGGAGCGGGGTTTGGCGGGGTTGGTGGGACTTCCTATCTGGCTTCACGTCCCTGCAGCTCCTAGGCAGTGAAGGCAGGGGTCAGGGCAGGGGCTCCACTGCTCCTGCCACAAGCGCCGGCTGCCACAGCTCCCATTGATTGGTAACCGCAGCCAATGGGAGCTGGGGGTGGGGCCTGCGGGCGCAGGCAGCATGTGGCGTGGAGACTCAGCCTGGCCCCTCCACTGCCTAGGAGCTGCAGGGGGGCCATGCTAGTGGAGCTGGGGAGCCCCCTACCCCTAGGTAAGTGCCCCTCCAAACCCCTGCCCCTAGCCCTGAGCTCCCTCCTACACACCTCCCTCCCACAAACTGCTGCTGCTGGCCCAGGGGCTGCCCAGCTCGGGCAGCCCCTGAGCCAGCAGCAGCCGTTGCAGAAGTCACGGAGGTCAAAGAAAGTTACAGAATCCGTGACAGACTCACAGCTTTACTGATAAGCACTGATTGAATACATTCTTTCTAACACTATGAAAAGGTGAGGAGGAGAGTATGAAACATCAAACACTGGATGTATGATTAAGGAAAATATAATTTCTGTTTCTTAATGATTGAAGCGGAAATTGGCAGCTGTGGTTAGGAACATAGTGCACATTTATCCCTATGGAAAACATGCCACTTCAATTCAGTGTCAGATAACAATATGCCAAATATAAAGAGGGATTTTCATCTGGCAGTTTCCCAAATACTTACCGATACTTCTCACTATATTATTAGGAAAGCAATATTTATGCTAGCTGGTTGCTGAAATGTTTATGAACAAACTTTAAGAAGAAACTGAAGTATATTTTCAGAGTATAATTTTCTATATAAAATGCACTATTTGTACATTACTTTCTCTAATTATTCCTGTGATTTTTGCATACATTCAAATTTCTTCAGAAAAAAACATAAAACTCTGCGCTCTTTAAGATAAAATTAAAAGCACATGCAGAGAAAGGGCTTGATATTTATTCTCTAACAGACATTCTCCTCCAACTCCTCTTTCCACAGAGGTTTCTTCACACATGAGATTTCAGAATAGGGTTGCCAGGTGTCCAGTTTTCGACCGGAAAACCCGGTCAAAAAGGGACCCTGGCTCCGGTCAGAACCACTGACCGGGCAGTTAAAAGTCTGGTTAGCGGCACAGCACAGCTAGCAGGCTCCCTGCCCGGCTCCGCACAGCTCCCAGAAGCGGCCAGCATGTCCCTCCGGCTCGGGGGCAGCCACAGGGGCTCCACGCGCTGCCCTGGGAACCATGGCCAATGGGACCTGCGGGGGGTGGCGTCTGGGGGCAGGGGCAGCGTGCAGAGCCTCCTGGCCGTGCCTCTGCCTAGGAGTTGGAGTGACACCCCAGCCTAGAGCCCATATCCCCCCCATTCCCCAACCCCCTGCCTCAACCTGGAGCCCCCTCCTGCACTCCACTCCCCTCATCCCCGGTCCCACCCCAGAGCCGGCACCCCCAGCCGGAGCCCTCACCTCCTCCCACACCCCATCACCCTGCCCCAGCCCAGTGAAAATGAGCAAGTGAGTGAGGGTGGTGGGGGGATGGAGTGAGCAGGGGTGGGGCCTCAGAGAAGGAGCAGGACATGGGCGGGGCCTCAGGGAAGGGGTGGGGCAAACGCATTTGGTTTTCTGCCATTAGAAAATTGGCAACGCTATTTCAGAAGCCACTACACTTTTCACTTTAACAACTTAGTCCGGGAGCTAGGTGGTATGGTAGATACATTATTTTGCCATTTTTCGTCTGGAAATATGCATTGAAATCCTATTTTGAGTTGCACATGACAATGTGTTTGGTGGTTCTGCCGAAGGGCCTGATCCAAAGGTCACTGAAGTCAGTGGGGGTCTTTACACTGAATTGAGTGGGCTTTGGATCATGCCATTAGTCCCTCCTCCACATTTGCCACCATTCTAAAATTCATACAGAATTCTGCATGATTTGTAATTGTTGTGAAAAAGAGCCAGGAATGGAATAGACAGGTGTTTCAGTTTTAAGATTAATATAGCTTGGCAGATCATATGAGGAAGTTCACACATACTACAGTGTGACAGATTCCAGTCAGTGGTATTAGTCTCTCCATATTATGTGCATCAAATTAGAGCAAATTAAAGGAGTAGCCTGACCGGATATCTTTAACAAAAGGTCTTTGTTAAAATTTCTGAAAGAGTAGGAAGTTACAGTATATATTTGGGTTGATAATTTCATACCACATTTCAAGATATTAATTCATTTTTTTATTCAAAAATTTACAAAGAGAAAGTAGGGTGAGATCCTCAGCTGTTCTGTCCTCGTATGTTATTTTTGGATTGTGTCTCTCTTAGAAAAATCTTGAACTATCCTGCTGCTCTTCAGTTTGTCTCATATTGTGAAGTCATTGCTTCCTTGTGAGCAGTTACTCACACTAATGGAACTGCTGATCAGTGTGAGTAATGGGTTTATGGTATATGAGCAAATCAGTTCTCTGAAGAATGTAAGGAATGTGTTAAAAACAGGTCAAGATGTAAATTTGCCACATCGTCGATATAAAATAACATGGTACAGCATAATAAAAATGTGTATCATAGACATTAGAGATAGAAAAGACTTATTAGCTCATCTAGTTTCTCTGCCAGTGCAGAATTATTCCCTATAGTATATTCACTGGGGTTTTGTCCTGTGAATTTTTAAATATTCTGTGCAACAGATCTAACCGTAAAAGCAACGTGAGATTTGTTTCTCCTGTCAGCTATTTGATATTATTTCAGTTAACAGTTATGTAAACCATACATACTAGATGCATAGCAGGTACTTTGGAGCAGCATGTCACTATTCCTGTCATTCCTGAATTAAAGAGACACTAAACTGGTATGGCCCAAATTTATTCTACTTTTCATTTTCTTATCTGTTTGCAAAATCCATGTATTTCAGAAAAAATGCTTTACTGTTAGGATATGTTTTTGTTAGAAAAATCTAACAATAATAAATAAATGTACATGAGGAAAAGAGAGAACATATCTGGGGGGAAATTGATTTCATATTCAAGGATACAAAGAGCTTTTGTTGGCAACACTGAGTAACAAAAGAATCTTAAAATAATACTTTTGACAGTGTTTTTTAATAAGTAAAAATAGAAATAACTAGACAAATAAAAATGCAAATTCTGGAATGAAATAGACCTTTTAAATGGAAGAAGCTTGGAAACTGTGAATGTCAGAAACTGTATTTGTGGATATTCCGCTCCAGTTGAATACCATCAGGTCAGCACGAGCTGTAGTGAACTCAATACTATGTACAGTATAAATAATCCTCATATTTTGAGCAGCAAGCATCATGACCAGCTGATATTTTCTTTCCTCGGGACCAGCTGTTCCTGGCACTGAGGAGTGCCTAACTGGAGCCATATGATCTTATCAACACATTTGAGAATTGTACCGAAACACTGACAAACACTCTGGTGCAGCAATGACTGTCATAGAGGAAAATCGCCCTTTTGCCCAGCAACTATCCAACGTCTACTTTACTATACTTTCACTTTTTTGTTTTAAACTTTTTGTGAAAATCAGCCTTGCCATCCTCAGTCACTTCTACATTGTAAAAGGAAACCGTAAGGAAGCAGCAAGGATAGCTGATGAATTTTATGGAATTCCTCAAGGGCAAGGTATGTGTGTACTTATTACTGTATCTTAGTTTATTGCCATTGGTTTATTCTTGTTGTAGTTAATTATTTAACTGCTCGTGATTTAAAAAAATATTTCAGTTAAGCCAAGTTGTGTGTGATTTCCCTCCCCCACCCCCAATATAAGATAGCTCGTATTACAACAGTGTTAGTTTGTTTATATTGGGCCATATTCTTCCATCTTTACCTTAAGTAGAATTTTTCTCCATGAAAAGCTCCACACATTATGAGTATGGGTAGTGGAATCTGTTCTACTATGATCAGAAAATCTAATTGTTAGCTCTCTTTATATCTTTGATATAGTTTATAACAAAAAAATTTATAAGGAGGAAAGCTCCAGAGAAACATATCTATTAGAAAACATGGTTTATAAGTTGTAGATTAATGTGAGGTACTGTATAAAACTGAATTATTATAGGCAGCATTGCTAGTGACTCCTATAGTTAAAGACTGCCTAACACTTTCCATTATAAGACCTTACTTTCAGTTGCATACATGCTCCTAAACTTCAACTATTGAGCTTAAATTTTCTATGCCAGGAGTCTGACTCAGGAAGAGTTTTTTAGAACATTTCAACAAAATCAGTTCATACATTTCTGAGAACCAAAATAAGGAAAAATATGTTGCTTTGCCCATGTTAAAATTATTACAACCATTTATTTGAGACGCTCTAGAATCTTCATGCTTTAGAATAGGGACTTGAAATTTGGCAGGAAGGTCACCCAGGTGTCAGAGATGGGCTTTTTGGCATCCTCATAGAAATCCACCCACATTTGGTCAAGTTGTAAGCCTCTGAAAATTACAGTGTGCATGTGCTCAAGCAGACATTTATTAGTTGGCAGCATTATTCTCCAAAGAGTCCATCTGTTCTAAGCATGTTCTATCTCCACATTGTTTCTATGTGCCAACCAGACTGCATATGCAGCATCCCTACAGAGTGAATGAGCATGCTGCTGCTCAGCTCAGGACTTCTGGGATGAAGTTTCCCTCCAATGCTCCTATATCTGTCTGGGGTCACTCCTAGCACCCATGTAGCATGGAGGAAAAGGAAGTACTGTACCCTGAATTGAATCCAGTGGGATGAGGAGCTTGTGAGGGAGACTGAAACAGGAGCTGGTGAGAGAGGACTAGGACAGGCTGGAGTGCATAGGGGTAGAAGGAATCAGGCTTGGAGGAATAGGGTAAGAATATTTAACCATTATAGCACACTCCCCTACAGAATCTGGAATTGAACCCAAGAGTCCTGAGTCTTATTTTTCCTTTGCTATAAGCAAACATCTGTGAAATCGGCTGGCAAAATACGGGTCTCATCTTCCTATATGGCTGGTCCATAGAGGATAAGGATTTACTACTGCTGAAACTGACTGTTAGCTCAACTGGCAAAGAGGTCTGTCCTGATGTAAAGGTCCCAGTTCTGCAGGTGACTCCTGGGGGTGGGGGTGTCAATATGGTTCTACGTGATGGAATTTCTATTTTTCAGTTTATTTTTTTATATGTCACTAGTTGATGGAAAAAAAAAAAAAAAAAAAGGCCTGAAGGAACATGTATATTTAAGGTTAAGGATGATTATGTCCTTAATTCACATTGTTGCATTGAGCAGTTATTTTATATAACATTGATTTTTATTAAGAACAATATGTCATCCTTAACTTTGGATTTCTTAGCTCTTGTCTGCAACACAACTTAGCTGTGATTTTGGGTTGATTTAAAAAAATAATAATTTCCAGGAGGTTGGTGGGGGAGAATGTGAATTCTGTAATTTAAGTTTAATGATGTTAAATTTGGTGAAAGTGGATTTGTTTTAATGAAAGGAGATAGATGGTGAGGGGCTGTGGTAAAGAGAGCGGGTCTCTTGTTAAAAAAATGGAAGGTAGTCTCTGAGTTAAAAATAACAAATGTGTAACGTATGTTGCTTTGGGACTTCTGGGCTTCATCTGGGTGCTCAGCATCAGAGTTTCAAAAAAATAAATATGCATGTATAAACTACAATAGTCACAGACTGAACAAATGTCTATTTCTAGAAGTCAAATGTGAATAAGAAATTAAAAATACTTTTTTCTGAGTCATCCATTTTAAATTGCAAAGTTCATGTCTTAAAATAAGATTTAAGAGCCTAGTTCTGTTCCCAGTGAAGTCAATGGTAAAACTCCCGTTTCAAAAAATGGCTTCAATGAAAGAAGGATCAGGTCTATTATAAAGTTCCCATTAATGGGATTATTCTTTAACTTTGGTCCTGATCATGAAAACACTCACATGCTTACTTTATACTCATAGTTGTCCCTTTGAACTCAATGGGACTGCTCAGGTGTGTAGCACTAACTAGTTAAGTGTTTGCAGGGCCAAGGGCTATACGTTTAGATGATTACGCCTAGTTTTCCTCTTCCTCATGCTGAAGTGTACCTAAGGTTGGTTATTTTTCATGGCAAAAATGTGTAAAGTCATGATTCTAATTACAAAAGAAGAGGAAAAGTCATAGCACACAAAGTTTTACCCCATTTTAAAATCTCATATTCCACCAAATTGACATAATTGAGCCACTTTTGTATAATAATAATCATGGAAAAAGTACTGCTCATTAGTGGACTGCCATGACTTTTTATGAAAAATACTAATTCATGACTTTTTTTCAAGAAGGACGTGGGTGTCACTAATATGCGACCTCAGTTACCTTGTGTGTAGATATTGTTGCTCCTTTGGCTTTAACAGTTGCCAGTATTTGGGACCTTGCAGGATTATTTCTAAGAGGAAAAAATGATGATAGAAGTCAGGTATATTCTTGGTGCATTCCCGTTTATTTACAAAAAATATATATTGGGACAAAGTTCCTCCTCTAGCTTGGTGGGTCCTGCGCTTATTGGCGGATTTACTCACCTCAGAGATTCACCTTGTGGGTCGGGAAACAGCTCAGAGACCTTCCCCTCTGGTAGAAGACACAGTCCAGATCAATTCCTCCTGTGTCTGATCAGGAGCTGGGAGGTTTGGGGGGAACCCGGGCCCACCCTCTACTCCGGGTTCCAGCCCAGGGCCCTGTGGACTGCAGCTGTCTAGAGTGCCTCCTGGTACAGCTGCACGACAGCTACAATTCCCTGGGCTACTTCCCCAGAGCCTCCTCCCAACACCTTCTTTATCCTCACCACAGGACCTTTCTCCTGGTGTCTGATAACGCTTGTGCTCTTCAGTCCTCCAGCTAAACGCCTTCCCACTCTCAACTCCTAGTGCCTCTTGCTCCCAGCTCCTCGCATGCACACTACAAACTGAAGTGAGGTCCTTTTTAACTCAGGTGCCCTGATTAGCCAGCCTGTCCTTATTGATTCTAGCAGTTTCTTCTTAATTGGCTCCAGGTGTCCTAATTAGCCTGCCTGCCTTAATTGGTTCCAGCAAGTTCCTGCTTGTTCTGGAACTGCCCCTGTTCCCTTACCCAGAGAAAAGGGATCTACTTAATCTGGGACTAATATATCTGCCTTCTAACACTCTCCTGTAACCATCTGTCCTGACCCTGTCACAATATATAAAGTCCTGTTTTCCTAAACACAGTACAAGCAAACAGCAGCTACAGCAGTCAGCCTCTCCAGTCAATTTTGTGCCCTGAGGAGTTCTGTCTCTCTGCATTTTCTCAGGGCCATACTTAAGCCTGATCTACACTAGAAAGTTAGGTAGAAGGAAGCCGCCTTATGTTGACCTGTTAATATATGTGTCTACACTACCGGGCCCTTTACACCAACCTAAGTCACCTCTAATGTTGACTTCTGTAATCCACCTCTGTGAGAGCATAGCACTTAATTTGATTTTCATGGGTAGACTGCGAGGTAGTGCAGACGCAGTGTTGTGTAATTCACCTTAATTGGCCTCCAGGTGGTGTCCCACAATGCTCATCTGAGACCACTCTGGAGATCAGTCTCAACTCTGCTGTACTGAAGCCAGGTACACAGGAAACAGCCCCTCCCCTGCTAAAGCCCCAGGAATTTTTGATTTCCCATTTCCTGTTTGATCAGCACTGGGAGCATGCCAGCTTGAGCACAGCTGATCATGGAGACTACACGCCCCAAACGTGCTCCAGCCTGGTCTGAACAGGAGGTGGTGGATCTCATTGCTGTGTGGGGAGAAGAGTCTGTGCAGGCAGAGCTCCGATCCAGGAGAAGAAATGCTGACATCTATGCAAAGATTGCTCATGGAATGGGGGAGAAGGTCTACACGAAGGACACACAGCAGTGCCCTGTGAAAATAAAAGAACTTCACCAAGTGTACCAGAAGGCAAGGGAGGCAAACAGTCATTCTGGTGCTGAACCCCACACATGCCGGTTCTACAATAAGCTGCATGCAGTTCTCTACCAGCACCCCCACAAGCAAAGTGGACATCTCACAGCTGTGTGAGTCTAGGGACAACAAGGAGGACGATATGGTGAATGAGGAAGAAGAGGAGGAGGAAAATGGGAGACAGGTGAGCGGTGGATCCATTCTCCCCGAGAGCCAGGAAATATTTTTAACCCTGGAGCCCTGTGGGTCGTAGGACACGACACCAAAAGCGAGGTGCTACTCACCAGGGCTGGAGTAGCAAAATGTCACAGTGAATGGTTACGGATTCTGATTATGTTATGGCTTACACCTAGTGTAATAAAGGTTTTTTTTTTTTTTATGAAAACGGCCTTGCTTTGGAAACATTTTATTCATGTACAATGGCTCCTTTATTTTTTCCCATGACTGACAGCTGGAAATGTGTCCTTCGGCGTGTCATCAACACCTGAAAGCAGACTTTTGCTGATTAGGAGGAGAAAGAACGTGGGAGGACATGTTCACCGAGATAATGAACGCCTCTGGGACAGCTGACACAGAGCTGAGAGCATGGAGGATTTCACTGTCCGAGAAGTTAGAAATGGACAGCAGGAAAGCTTCCAATGAGCAAGAGCAAGCGGCGCAGGATAAGATGCTTCGGATTATGAGGACCAAGCAGACATGTTGAGGCATCTGGTTGAACTGCAGGAACA